CCAACTGAATAGGTGTTTTCCTTCACCTGAGGATGGAAACAGATCCAGTTTCCGAAACGTCGTGTTTTTATTTGTTATCTTAAAAACCAGGACGATGGATAAAGTCCAAAATCCCAACATATCAGTGAATTATAATACTAGTCAAAAAGAGTGCCAGTCTGACACATACTAAAAGTTGCAGTGGCGAAGATGCCTTTTACTCACAACGTAATAAGGCTCAGTGGGTTTATACCTCTTCCAAGACGCAAAATGAAAACGATATATAAAGAAATATATGACAGTCTGACACTGACTTCCTGACTGATAATTCGCCACTGAAAACGAATCCTTGAATGCGTCAGACTTCTTTGAAGGCTCTGCAAACGCTCATACGCAAGCACCGATAAATATTTTCTCATCAGTTCTCAAAACAAAGCTGGGCTATATTTGGTTGACCAGGTCATAAACAGTCATATCTAAACGTAAATAGTATCGAAACCAGTACCGGGATAAACAGTATCTTTGTTCAGAGCTAAGGAATGAACCACTGACATGACCTCACATAGGTTTGTTTTGGTTTCCAACCCAAGGTCAAACTGCCAGCACTCTCAAAGAGAGCATGTGTCCTGCGACCTATACACAGGTTATTCGGCCAACTCTGGTTCCTGCTTGCGCCCTATATATGTGACATTCGGACATTAAAGTTTAAAATAGATTCTGCTTTATTGTTTCCTTCAACAGGCCAGCCAGCTAGTCTTTGTATTGGACATGATTGATTATGTTTCAGAAAAGCATTGTTGTGGCTATAACAAAGAATTTATTATTTTCAGTCTGTCATACAGTAAGATGAGATCTGGAAGGGAAGACATGTCTGCTGAGTAATTACTTTCCAAACACAGTGCATTAGGCAAAATGTAAAGTTGGTTTGTGACCAAGGGAACAATAAGTAAACCTTATCTTATTACTGTATATACTATATTAAGTACCAGGGGTAGAACTTTAATAGTGGCAACACTGCTGTAGAAACACCATGCAACGGAAACAAATAATCAAATTGTGTCGCGTATACCACACGTTAGTTACCTACCTACCTTACCTCAGAGCAAATGGACTCTCCCTTCCCACATCGCACGCATGCGCAGTGACAAACAGAGCCTTGTGTTAGCTGGCCGTCTAATGTAGTGTTGTCACAATGTTTTCAAAACGCGAACAACGGAGTTGGATAAAGATTGAATGTGCCAGAGGCCGTACAGCATGACAGTGTCATCAAGGTCTTCAAGAGGCTTGCGAGGAATCTGCAGTGCCTTACAGAACAGTGGCAAGGTGGGTAAAAGCCTTCAACAAGGAACGCCAAAATGTGGCAGACATGCATCGGTCAGGTCATCGTAGTGTCAGTGAAGAAGAAGTGTATGCTCTTTCTGCATTACTGGAGAGTGATTGACATCACACAATTTGTGAGCTGGCTCGAGAGACAGGATTAGCACATATGGCTGTGCTTCACATTCTGAAAGAATGCCTGGGCATGAGAAAAATTGCTTCATGATGGGTTCCGCATGATTTGACGGAAGAAGCGCAAGCTGTGGCTGATTTGTTCGGTCGATGGGACTGGGAAGTGCTGTACCGTCCACCATACTCCCCGGACTTAAGCCCTTGCGACTTTGACTTGATTCCTAAGATGAAGGAGCCACTTCATGGTATTTGCTTCAGAACAGATCCAGAGATTCCTCAGGCAGTAGACTGCTCCATTCGAACTATCAACACAACAGGCACTGCTAAAGGTATCCTATGGCTTCCACATCGCTGGCAATGGGTTGAACACAATGCTGGTGACTACATTGAAAGACAGTAAAACTTTGAAACATGCATCTGTTTTGTATCAGTTGTAAATAAATAGTTGCCACTATTAAAGTTCCAACCCTCGTATGTGGAGCTGGTATAGCAACTGGCCACGGGCTGGACAGCCGAGGGATTGGAGTTTTGAGTCCTGGTAGGGTCAAGATCTTTCTCCTCTTCTTATCATTCAGACTGGTGCCGCAGCCCATCCAGCTTCCTGTCCAATGGGTACTGGGGGCTCTTTCACCGGAGGTGAAGTGGCTGGGATGTTAAGCTGACCACTCACCCCCAACTTGTGTCAAGGTCCAGAATGTGTGGATCTATACATACACACCCACATCTTAATAGCATAGTGCATAATTGGTTAAGCACAGGGACAGCTTTACCCTGTCTTTCAGTGTATTAAACTTTTAATATTTTTTCAGCTGAAAAACGTGCAGCAGCACAGATGGCTGCTGCTTCTAACACGAAGACCACTATGTCATATACAACTGCAATCATGACATCTGGGAAACCAACAAAGATGGTGACAAGTACTACCACACAGACATTTGCTGCCAAATTGACAGAAGCTACATCGACCCTACAGCTTCCACCTGCTGTTGCTTCATCCACCATACCTGGGAAATCTCGGGCTTCTCACGCCCAGATGGGGACCACTCAGTCCCTGTCCACCATGTCCACACCTTCCCAAAGTTCCTATCAGCAGCAGGTAACTGTAACAACAACAGCATCCACTGTTCCATCACCCAAACACCACAGACCACTACCTGCTGCATCTGCCCCCCCTAGCATCCCTGGGCAGTACCAGATGACTCCAGGCAAGGCACCATTCTCATCTGCCGGTCCCATTTCCATGTCAAATCCACCTTCCCAAGTACCTTCAGCTACTGCTCCTGCCATGCCTTCTGTTGCAAGTTCCAGTAACCAGGGCAGAAGCAGCACCCCTCTGAATCAGCCCTCTGACCAACAGCAGTTACAGCAGCAACAGCAGACGGTTCCAATGCCAGTTCCAGCCAATACTCCACTAGAATACTCTCTGTTCAATGACACATTTACCAAGGTAAGAAGCAGCATTGCCTTACATGGTCTTCCTTGAGTAGGTGATTCCTACCACCAAATGATCAAAAAATTTACTGCATAATCTAGACATATTCAAAATCTCCCAACTGGACTCTTATATGCCAACCCAGTACTGGGTCAGGTTTCAGATAAATTTCTATGTAAAAAATCATAACTTATTCTGATTACCATTCATATCCTATTTCTGTGGTATCAATTGTAAAATTATCCTCCTATCCACACTGAAGATATCTTTCTTTAGGTTCTGAACCAAATGTTTGTAGATGTTTTTAAGTTGCCCATATACCCTACATGTTTACCCAGCTTTTCATTATTCTACCACTTTTGTCATGTGCCTTCCTAAATATTTCATCGCCATCCATATCATCCCTAGCCACATTCATCTGGGTAGCAGTAATATGTAGATCATGAGGATTGCTTCTGCTGGCATGTGATACTGTATAGTCTGAAGTTTCCCATTGTTTCAGAAGAAGATACTACCCCCATCTTCAATCCCAAAGCTGGAGGAAATATGCTCCTCCAAAATGACTTCTACCAAACTATGCAGCGTTACATACAAAAGAGCACTCACTCCTTTGAGAACCTCAAGTCTGACTTAATATAGGTTAGCCAGTGGCACCTGTGAAACCAACCCTTAGTATGATGTGTCCGGCAGTTATGAGAGACAGGCTCTTGATCTTAAGGCAGTGTTTCTGTGTGTAGGGGGCAATGCAGGCCACCAGGGTATGTTGCAGACCACAGGTTTAGCACAAGCCAGTATCATTGTGCAGTCACATTTTGAAACAGGCCCCTCTTATTTGATTATGAACCTGAGGTGGTAGAACCGCTTATATGTAAAAAATAGAAATTCTTAATTTATCTTTACAGTTTATTCCCTCTCATACCAGAGCTTTTAGAATCTCTGTAGAAATTTCGCTCTTAAGTCAGCATATATATATTTGTCAGAATTTTTGTGTGTTAAATAATTAAGATTATTGAGCATCAGTTGACAAAATACTTTGTGAATAATGAAATGAGAAAGAAGTGGTTATGGACTGATATGACTGAGTATTCTGTTTGCCTGGAGAAACCATCAGAAACCTTGGTTAGTTTAACCAGACTCCAGGACGTCCCAAATACGAACCAGGTGTACTACCACTCAACTGCAGTGTTTGGTAAATGGTCACCTCCCATGAGGTTTCCCAACCAAAATTTTGTGTGCATATTTTGCTGTAAAATTAATCTGGGAGAGAATGTCAGTGATTTTCTGTTTTCCATTTCGTGGATGTGCACTTAAGAACAGAATTTGGAGTGCTCATAGGATGGGTTTCTTACCCAGTGTTAAGCAACTTTTTCATGTGCTTTGCTTGCCACTTGTCCAGTTTGCGTATCTAGTTCTTAATGAGTAGGAATGAGGAACTAATTGAACTTGCAACTTGTTTTGCTCTTACATGTGCAGTTATCCTAAAGCTCATTATAATGAACTACATCAGTTGAGGTCATGCATTATCCTTGAAAGAAAATGACTAGAATGTGATTTAAGTGCCTGTCTGGATCATATTATAATAGACTCATTTTCCTTTAGGTTACACAGCAGTCGATGTGGGGTCGAGATAATGAAAACTCCCAGAAAGGGATGAATTTTGCAAGTGTAGCTGCTACAGGAGCAGTAGCTAGTAACGGATCTGGGGTTGCTGGAGGAAAATTCATTGATAGTATTCCACCACAGGTAAAAATCTCATTAACTCCTATCTGAAATTTGTAAATGATTCAGATCCAAAACTCTATATGCATATGAGCATCTTTTCTTCAGGTGGATGCATCCAAAGCTCCAGGTTACCGGGGCACAGCTGTTTGCTCTCCTGTATCCTCGAAGACGAGTAGCAACAGCACAACACCACCTTCTCTGCCTTTGGCTCCAGGGACAACATTTCAAGGTACCAGTGTTTTCTCGGCAGCGCAATGTGTTCCTCACTCATCAGGCACCGTGATTACCATGACTGCCAAGCAGCCGCCTCTGCAGGCAACCCACAGTGGCCTTGCTGTCACACGTCCAGTCTCGAACAGCAATACACTTGACATGCATAGTAACTTGGGAAATTCAGCAACAAATCTTAGTGTTGGAATTGTTGGTCAGCAGCCATCTTCTCACATGGATGTGAATGGTGGCACCATAGCACCATCACCTTTTGGGAATCGAGCTGTCTTTCAAAGTGAGCTTCCACCTCGAACAGTTGCCAGCCAGCAGCATGGCATCATAGTATCATCGTCTCAGTCGACACTCGATCATGGTGCTTTATATACCCCGGTGTCCGCAGCAGGATATGGACCTGACCCTCAGGGTCATAATGCAGCTTTGCTCAAGATGGTCCCTGGAGTAGGTGATCCGCAATCAGTCCCACAACAGCAGCAACCTCAGCAGCAATCACAGCAGCAACAACAACAACATCCAATGCTAAGTTCCTACCATCACCAGCATTCACATCACCATCCTTTGAATTATTCCCAGCCAAAGCCTAACTTAGGTGTTTCTTCATCCCAAGTGAACACCAATACCACAGTAAGCATGTCTCGTCTGAATCCAAGTGCACCTGACTTCTCCATCCACCTTTCCAACAAGCCTCAGCAGCAGCAGCAGCAACAACAGCAACCTCCACCACCACCACAGCAGCAGCCACAGCAACAACAGCCCCCGCCACCACCGCCACCCCAACAAGGGGGCAACATGTTCAGTGCCACTGCAACATTCCATCAGAGAGCAAGTGTGTTGCCTCAATCTCTGCATACCTCACCATCTGCTTTAGGCACCATGTTGCCCAGTGTCTCATTCCCGTTAGCAAAATCATCTCCTAGCCTGTACCACCATCAGCCACTTCCTGGCCCTGCTCCAGCTCCAGGCCCTCCTACTGCCAATGCCCAGAGGTGGCCATTGTTCCAACTCCCATACCCCCACCATCATCATCCTGATGTTATGGGTCAGATGAGTTTTACTGGTAATATGGCACAGCTAGCATCCCTTGCCGCCAGTTTGGCGCACCCTGGAAACAGTGGAGCTGCAGCAGATATATTAGCGGGCTTGGAGAATGGAGCAATGGTAGGAGGAGGCAACTCTCCCGCAATGTCTCCATCATCTCCTGCCAATGCAAATCCAGGCCCAGTAAGTGAGCCCAACCACCACAAACTGGAAGATCGCAAGATACCACCACGACCCATTGGCACAGAACGTGCCAGTTGGAAGAATAATTATGGAAACATGAGCGGTGTAGGAGCAGGTGCAGACCTAGACCCCAACTGGATGCTTGGATGTGAACCTAAGATGCCCGTCTCATGGGTGGGCGCTGGGATGAGTCGCACTATGGAAAGGCAACAGTTATATAGGGCCAGTGCCTCACATTATAACCGATTGACCCTAGCAGATGAACTGCCCCACATGATGGATGCAAACTTCCAGGTATACATTATTGGATCTACGGCAGCATGATACAGTGCTCTGGTACCTGAAATGCATTTCTGTCACTGGCATGAAAGCAGTCACTGCTGGGTGATAATGTACAGTTCTTGTTCTCTTGCACTTTGTGTCACTTATTTGTGAAATAATGCATGAATGGTCAGTGTACTGGCTTTAACACATTCAGACCTGGCTGACAACCCATGCAGTGCAAGAAGCTTGTATTCTTAAAAATGAAAGAATATTCATGCTCAGTCTTAAAGAGATCTCTCTCCTGGAATATAACGCTGTGTAGTCCATTGAAAGTCACACGATGTTTCAGAGGAACATGTCGCCGCCATTTGCAGGGTCGAGTAATATGCCAAACAAGAAACCATCATGAAGCAAGTAGCAAGCAGAGTTTTTGACTTTCAGCGGGCTACATGAAGTTAAATCCAGAAGATAAAGCACTTTATAACCATCACTGTGAGAACCTGAAATCCTCCTCAGTCTTGCACAACGTAGTACATGCTTCTGATAATGCTAATTTTAGGTAATCAGTAAGGGCCTGTGATGGGAACTGCAGCGTGACTTTTTATGCCTATAAATGTTGGAAGTTATTTCCCTGTATGGCTTCAGTATCTGGATATTGAGTCATCTGACTGCCATAAACTACAGGAACAAATTTTTAATTTTAATCATTCACCATGTGGGAAGTTGCCAGCTATAGGCATTTAACAGAGGAAAATCTGGACATACAGGGTGTTTCACGACTTTAGGGCATAACTGTAGGAGGTGATTTCCTAGGTCTTTGTGATCAAAAAAGTTCATATAAACATGTGCCCGATTTTCGACAGTTACGGAGTTATGACCGTCTTAAACTCAGAATAGAAGGTAACGATTACTGACAATAAACAGAACAAAATAATAAACCAGCATAATACATGATACATTTAAAGTATGAATGTAAAGTTAACTTTGTGAAATTACCCATAATTTAAATTTATTGGTGCTTAAAGCTGATTTTCGAAAATGCCACAACACAGGCTGCCACTCGGTTGCGAACCGCGCCGGACATGCAACCCTCCCTGCCTTACGTACATCTCAAGTGTTGAGATAACGAGAACGCTCTGTCTGTAGCTGTCTGTAGCGACCCACCAGCCGATGGACGCAGTTCACATGAGGACGTGTACGGGAATGAAAAAACGGTCATAACTCCATAACCGTCCAAAATCGGACACATGTTTATATGAACTTTTTTGATCACAAGGACCTAGGAAATCACCACCTGCAGTTATGCCCTAAAGTCGTGAAACACTCTGTATATTAGAAATATGTGAATGCGGGTCTGAATGTGTTAAAATAGCTGACTGTCTGTCTTCTTTCAGATTACTTCATTTCTCTTTATGTGGGTTTTGGCTGTAGCTGTTTTCCAAGAACTGTTTAGCCTTTTGGTGTCTTGGTTCNGGTCGCGTGTCCCCCCCCCCCCCATTCCTCATTCCCTTAAAAATACCAACCGTTTCTGTTCATCGTGCTCATTCTGATACTGAAGTAAGAGACTGAACTTAAGTTGGGAAGGAAATGTTACTCAGCTTAAAATTTCAAAGAATGGAGATGATATACTGCATTCTGTACTGTTAGTTTAAAGAAGATAAATTATCTGCAGTATTTCAGTGGTATTACACCTTAACTTTGCTTGCACATTGGAGACAATACATATTCCTATGCTGCAAGCCAGAAGGTCGTGGGTTCAAGTCCTGATGAGGTAATTGGATTTTTTCAGTTGACATATTCCTTCCAGCCACACTATGGTCCTGGGGTTGACTCAGCCTCTAACAGAAATGAGTACCAGGAATTAATTAAATAATTTTCCTGAGGAGTAAAGCACAGCCGGCGCATAAGGCTGACAACCTTACTGCCATCTTTGAGCCAATTTTCTAGATAATGTGGGACCCTCAACATCTCACAATCCTATGGGCCTTCACAGCCTGTTACAGGGATAGCTTTACTTCTTTTTACTTTTACATATGTGATACAAAAGGTAATGTTTATTGTAAAGAATTCCTTAGTATAGCATAATCAGTGCCCATTCAGCGCAATAAATTGACTGAATTGTATAAAATGGTGATGACTGAAAGCAGATATTGTCACTGTACTTCCCAGTTAATTAAAATTGAAATACCAGGACCAAGCAAGTTGGCTGTAGCAGAAACGCTCATAACTTCCACTTGGGAGATGCCTGTTGTTCCTCCAAGTCTGGGAAAGTACCTTATATTAGGCCATGAAGACTTGCTTCCAGATCCTTTGTAATTATTCGTTAATGTTATCATCATTCAACACTAGTGTGAGCTACTGATATTATCATGAAATAAGTAACAAGTAAAAATTATTTGCATTATAATAAAAACAAGTTAATGTCTGATGCATTGAATTTTCGGGGTTTTTTTTTGGGGGCGGGGGAGTCAAGTTGTTGATGCTAGTTGTCATTGTGGCTGCAACAAGCTTATACTGCCTTTTGTTTCACTTTATGAACTGCATTAAGCATGCACTTCCACGTCACATAAAAGTCTTGTCTCCCTGTATTTGTTTCACTTGACAGCAATAACTATCTCAGAAATAATTAAGCATGAGATGCTATTTTATATTATATTTTTTTTTTTCACATGGATTCAGCTTGTGTATCATTTATATGCTCTGTATATTGTAGCATGTAGACCAGTTGCTAAGTAATGACTGTAAAACAATGGCCATTGCTACATGATGGCCACAACACATTCGTAACATGCACCAGTGGAGTAACTGGGAAGTGATGTTTTCTGTGTGGTCCATGCGACAGCTACATGATCCAACTATAGAAGAACTGTTGCGAGAGGTGTTTTCTGTGCGATCCATACAAAGGTGTTATAAGCAGGACAAGTCTAGTGTTTAGCCAGTGAGAGTTCAGTTCATTCCAGTCAGTCAGTAGAATAGGAGGTTGTTTATGGAATGGCCACCAGCCTGGGAGTTAGACGTGAGACAGTTGCCGGCTTGTAAAGACATGAACATGGAAGTTGAGGGATCTACGGCGTTGCAGGCTGTTACCAAACGACAGGTGAAGACACAGCAGACTGAGAAGACAGTATGTGCTGTAGTGAAATGTAGAGTGTGTTAATTAGCAATAGCACTATACTTACAGTTTGTAAGTGTTCAATAAATCCAATTACCAATCCACACCCCATATATAGTCACAGTCATATGCGTGACAGTATCTACAGGCTTGCTTGGTATAACGTTTTTTCTTGCCCTTTAATGATTATCCTTATTGGCAGTAACGTGTCTCATCACTATAAGATTTCATTTATCCCTTTGATTTTATGTTAATTTGTCATTTACATATGACAGAGAGAAGGCCTTTCTATATTATGTAACTATCTTGTGACAGTTGTATAATTCCTATGTGTTTCTGGCTTTCACATCCAAGTGTATTCAGGAATGGCTTATGAATATGGCAGGTTATAAGACATGACTTTTGTTAGTTACTAAAGAAACTGAGGCCGAGTTTTATGAAAGTGATCACAGTGTTGACAGTGAAATTGTGGTTCTCTACAATATATATATACACACACACTCAACTCTCGATTATCCGGGATAATGGTGGGGATGGAAATCACGATTAATCGAAAACCCAGTTAAGACAAATTTTATTAAAAGTAGTACTGTAATACTGTACCTTCATAATACTATAGGCCTACCTGTATTTAAATTTATTCAACCTCATTTTTATGTCATCTCATGGCCTATTTAATAATTTTTTTTACATTACACTGAAGTATGAATTAGTTATTTCAATCACAGTCTTCAACAACATCCAACACTTTTTATGAATATTCACACTTAACACAAAAAAATTTAATATTGTCGTTTACTTTTTCGCGGCATTTTCCTTTTTCTGTTGAATACTTAACACAACACGCTTCCTTTTACACCCTGACATTTTGCTAACGCACATGAAGATCGATACAAAGAAACTAACTGGGGCGGTGTATCTGTCCTTGAAACTTTCCTCAGATCCTTGCATTCTTTCACCCCTACCCTAGAACATTGTGTTAGCATAACGGGACCAAAAAATGCAGAGCTCCGTTCACACTAGTGCGAAAATAGTGTTACAACTTATCATGTGAAACAGAAGTGAATGAATATTAAAGAACATATAAGCCTCAAAAATGCCCCAGTTAAGCCACAAACTGGTTTATCTGCCCCTGGATAATCGAGAGTTGAGTGTATATGGATACTGAAGCATAACAGTGATACTGAATTGTGTGAATTTGAAGTCATTCCAGTGATCAAATGACCATGACAAAATACATGTGGCTCTGGTGGCAATGATTGTTCTCATAGTTCATAAGGGAATAATAGTGAAAATACGTGTACTTTACGTGAAAAGAAAGTACTGAATTGAATAATTTTGTGATAGATGAACATGAAACCATTGATGGTAGGAGAGGGAGTAAAGAATCAACAAGTGTTTACAAGGCAGAGGCCATAATTTGGCCATGGAAAACAGACCCACATAATCCAAAATATAGAATACTTGGTAATTGCAAGGCTCTCTTCAGTAGTTATGTGTAAAGTGGTGGTTGATCCAATATGTTCAGCTGTTTGCTTGTGTTCTTGCCAATATATGCCAGACAAACTTTAAAAAATGAATAGTATAGAAGAGGAAATTTAATAAGTGGTTTCCAGTTACATCTGATAAACTGATGAAATGCTTTGACCTTTGCATAATCACACAGGCAAAGAAACCTTCATTGCAGTTGGACTGATCGAAGATATGTATAAAGATGTAACACAAATGTGTTTGCTAAAAAATCCCATTCACCACGTTCATGCTCATCTTATTTTTTCGACATTTTGAAGAAAGGGCGGCTGGAAATGACAGGTTTTCAATTGTTAGACGCATAGTTGATTATTTGAAGAAAAATTAAAGATAAACATACCTGAAGGACATATGTCCGTTGATGAAGGTCTGAATGTTCTGACAGACA